TTATTGAATTTATATCCTTACATTTTAAAAGTAACTTTCAGCTTTTTAAAAATAAGTTTTAGGAAAAGTAGATGGAGACTTCCTAACAAATCATTAACTAGTCCTGTGTCAAAGCTAGTTGATCAGCTGAAGTGATGGATTAAGTCAAACTGTTAAATATTCCTAGGCCTTTTTCTCTACCAGAAAATGATCTTTGAGAACCTCCTTGCTATTCTATTCTGTGAAATGAGCTATACCAACTGATAATAAGCTAAATTGACTGTTAATTTATTGATTGCTCATAAAAGGGAGAGAAAATCAGGCCAGCTTGAGTTCCAATTATTTTAAGAAATGGTATATTTGTTTAGCAATGCAAAAAATGCCTATTCCTCACCACTGCCAGCTCCTCATACCCCTTTCATGACTTAGTAATTCCAGGAAACTGAATATATGCTTCTACACAGTATTTATTTGTTTCCCTTTTGCTGAATGTTGCTCCTTCAGCTTGTGTAAAATTTCAACGATTCTTACAAGCTGCCCGTTTAACATCTTCAGAGTTTTAGAACTAACATTTAGAACTATCTTTTATAAAACTAAAAGATAACTGAAAACATATATAGTCACTTGAATATAATTTCTCAGAAGTATGCTACCTCTACAGGTGCTAAATCTGAGCGTAAAAGGAATTGAGTAGCTTGCATATAGCTAGTGAATGGCAGGGCTTGGATTCAATTCTAAATCTGTAGTTGTCAAAATTTCATATGCTATACAACTTCCTGCCATATCTCAGTTGCAAATTACCTTTCTATCTATCAGGCAAGGAGACTTTGGAACCCAAGAAAGTGATCTCCTAAACACATATAATAGAAAAGCAGAAAACAGAAGCATATATCCTAGTAATTGTCTAGACCAGTCTTTCCTGTTGCAAATATAAACATGGAGTTAGAAACTAGAAAGAGATTGAGAGACTTTTTTTTTCCAGATATATAATCTTTTATTTTCCTAATAGATCCTCTAGGCCAAGAACTGATGGTTTCCTGAGGTATGTCCACATTAGTATTACCTGTGGAGCCTTTACACCTGTTAGACTTCTGGGTTTTACCTCAAACTAAATAGATCAGCTCTCTGGAGGTGGAGATTGGACATCTGCAATTTTAAAGCCTCTCCAGATTGTTCTAATGTGCATTCAGGTTCGTGAACTACTATTAACAACTTGCAACTGAAAGAATGTCTGGAGACTATAAATAACCTGCCCCAAATCACAAGACTGGTGAATTCCATGCTCATGTGTGAAATAATTAGGCAAAGAAAATGTCTTGGATCTTGAAGTAGAATACTTTCCCGATGTATTTAAGAAGATTCCAGGTGAACTATCGAATGGTAATACCTCATAAGTAATATAATACTTTCCATCTAAACAGGTGGGATGCAAACCTCAAAACTAACAGGACATCAGAACCATCTGGGGAGGTTTTTAAAATAAAGATTCCTGGTCCCATCTCACACCCAGAGACTCAGAAGCTGTGTATTATGTATTATTAACAATCTTTCAAGTGATTTTTATGAAGATGATCCAGGAACTTTCAAAGACATATGCATGTTTGAGAACGCTAGTTTAGAACAGGATGGTTTACCAACTATAGCAGAAACAGAATAATTTTGGGAATGTATTAAAAGCATGCACCTTTTTTGGGTGGGAGGAAGGGAGCGTGGATTATTTGAAGAAATTCTAATTGCATGGATCAGAGCCCAGAAATCGGTATTGTTAACCCTTCTGGTGATTCTAGGTCAGCTGACCTAGGAAACATGCTTTGAGTAAAACTGACAGAAAGCAACTGGTGTTGGAGACGTTATTTTTAAATAAAATATTTTAAAGTAAATCAAATGCATGAACATATGTTAACTATGAGTTTAAAAATAACTAAATGTTCTAATTGAACTCAGTCTAGCTTACTTAAAATTATGTTATTTTGTTGTTAGTTGGGGGTTGCCTTAGGTATTCCCAGCGACTCCCTAATTTTTTTGCATCAATAAATACATTTAGATTTTTGTAATATAATAAGAATTTGAATACAACAGAAACTCTAAAATATTTCAAAATAATACCCAAAATATGATTGATTTTTCTGCAGGCAATTAAAGTGTCAGTATGTAGTGAGTTCAAAAGACATAGACAACTAAGGGAAGGGAGGAAATACAGGAGGAATGTCAGTTAATTGAGCACTTTCTATATTCCAAGCTCCGGATTAGGTTCTTTTCACATGTTATTTAAAATAATCAGTTTCATACTTTAAATATCTACACAGATAAATGAGAAAAAAATCTATAATATTCGAAAAAATTATTTTGAGATGGTCATTGAACTTCGATTTGAAATTTCATGCATATATTAATTTTGATCTTAGATAAGAGTAAGAGTGCTAGAAGGAAGCTTACAAGGAAGGTCCAGAGAGGTTAAGTGACCTTCTCAATATTAGTTTGTGGAACTAGTAACCTAGGGTAGCACTCATATTTCTGGTTTGGCAGGCTATCTCTTACTTAGGTTCTGCTGTTTTATAAAATACATATGAATATGGATACATTCAATATGAATTACTAAAGGGAGGAACACTTTGAATAGTAGTGAAGCATGCCCATTTGCAAAATGCTACAAAATCTCTAGATGAGAGACATCCAGAAAAAAAAACAAAATCACCTTAATTGACTGATTGAAATACCATGGAATGAACTTAGGAGGGAAAGTATATTTCCCTCCATGTGGTTTGGTAATAAATATCTGCCCTTCACAGTGCTTGCACTTTATACTCTCCTTAAATACTAATTTAATTTTCTATTAGAAATAGTTGATGTGTTATTAATATTTGGGTAGAATGTTAACGTGATCCAAATCCTTTCTAATCTTTCTGGCAATGTGACTTTTGGGACTTTACTATGTGGTAAGGTAGGAAGGAGTTAAAATGCCTTCCTTCTGCATCCAGGCAACAAACTGACTAATAAAATAAATATAAAATGTCATCTCCAATTTGTACCAATAAACACTGTCACTACACTTAAAAAATATTTTACACAACCACTAATGACATTCATTTATTTACTCAACAGGTGTTTGATATGACCCTCCTGTACATTAGGCACTGTGCTTATCCTTTAGATTCTGATGCTTGTTATATTTAACAGCTTGATAGTAATTGTTAAGAAGTTTCCCAAAATGAGAACAGAGTTCAAGGGAACTCGAAGATTTGGTCAAACACAAAGTCATAAGATAAGGACCTAAAAATTGTGGTAACTTTAGTTCATGCAAAAAAATTTTTTTCTAGGTGATTACCTTGAGACTCATGGAATCTAGTTTAAAAATAGGCTGACAAAAAATATCAGAGGCATAGTTTCCTATTCTTTTCATATTTAACCTCCAATTGGAGGCAATACTTTAAAGGCTCAGCAAATAATTCCTAAATACTCTGTTGCTTTACACATCAAATGCTCCGAGTTTTCTAAGCTCCTCACAATAAAAGCATTTCTGCACAATCTAAGGTTATCAGGAGTTTTATAGTAAATATAAAAATTTTAAGTATATATTTGTTTCCCACTAAGAAGATTTTTTTCAGTTTCTATTTCGTGTAAGGATATACGGCTGTCATAATATATAAGACTGTCCTGACTCTCATGTCTTTCTTCTTCAGGGTGTAATTCTATGGGTGTGGACAATTCAGTATATATTCTTACTAGTAAGGCCCATGATGATTAATATTTATATATGCTTACTAATGTCTACAATAATTAATATTTAAATATTTAGAGTATTGAAGGTCATAGCTTTTTGATATTTGAAGTAAAACATTTTAAATGGTCTGTTCTCTTTTTGTATCCACAATTTGATTTCAGGCATAATTATTTGTTTTTATAATCAATAGCAAACCAATTTTGTTGAATCAATATATCTTTTCCATGAGTTCCTTACAAAGAATTGCAATCCACAGGATTCATTAAAGGAGTGACTGAGAACCATACACTTTCTTGAGGGCTGTATTTCACTTAAATGTAGTGATAGACCATTTCCTTCTGCTAAACTCAACTCCTAAAATATTTAAACCAGAACGAATGCTAACAAATTTGATGTTTTATTCATTGTATGCCTTCAAAAGTCAAAGTTCTTTTACATGAGATATACCTTTCTATAGGCCCTAAATAATACCAATAAGACATTCACATTAATAAAAATTGAGACATAATTCCATATAGAGTAGGAATGTGATTGAAAACAAAGTGGAATTAAGAGAGATAGGATCCTTAAATCCTAGTCTTAACTATTGTCACTAGCTGTGGTGTGTCTGTGCATGTGTGTTTGTGTGTGTATGTGTGAATGTGTGTCTTGAATAAATATCTCTGGATCTAGTTAACTCATAAATAGAAAGAAAAGCAATTATAATTTCTATATTATAGTAATTATAAACCACAAAATTATAATTCCTTCTGGCCCTAAAACTCATAGATCAATGGACCCTGAGCTGAAGGTTTCTGCTAAGTCATTTAATTCTTGCACTTCAAATTTGGGAAACAGTCTTCTAGGATTTAGTAATGAGGTTTAAAGTCACTTAGTAGCACTGCCTTGACTTGGGTCATATTATCAGTGTATGATTATAGTCATAGTCCAACAAAGAGCCTGAATTTGTAGTCAACAATAGAGACACTGCCTTTAGGTCTTTCAGTTCTTTCAAATCATGAACATCCACTAGAGCCAAGGCAAATTGAAATGATATTGAATGCTTTTCTGCCTTCAAAAAAAAAGCAGGTGGGCCGGACACCTTGGCTCACACCTGCAATCCGAGCACTTTGGGAGGCTGAGGCAAGTGGATCACTTGAGGTCTGGAGTTCGAGACCAGCCTGGCCAACACGGTGAAACCCGTCTCCACTAAAAATACAAAAAATTAGCCAGTCATGGTGGTACACACCTGTAATCCCAGCTACTCAGGAGGCTGATGAAGGACAATCACTTGAAGCCGGGAGGCCAAGGTTGCAGTGAGCCAAGATTGTGCCACTGCACTCCAGCCTTGGCAACAGAGCAAGACTTCATCACATACACACACAAAAGAAGCAGGTACTTTCTAAACGTGTAGCAGTGTATCCTCTTTAGATCCCTATACTTTTTATAGGGCAAGAAATTTGACAAAGTAAATGTAAATGTATGAATTTTACTGTCTTATCAATTAATTAAATATGGATGAAGATTTTACTAATTGAGGAGGACATACAGATAAAAATATTATTTCTTAATGTATTGTTGTTAGAATAGATAATATGGAGAGAATAATATGTTGGGTCAAAAGAGTTGACAAAATGTGCAGCTCCAAAACATGTCAAATAGCTAAGCAATTGGAGAAATTTGCTACTTTTCTTCCCCATTAAATCAGCATTGACCCATATAAGCTTCATTGAGAGTAGCACATCTATATAAACAGTTTCAGTCTGAATTGAAAGGAAACTTTCATATGTCTGTCCACTTAATTGTAAAGTCATTTTAGGTAGTGATAGTACCTTGTTCATCTTATCTCTGTGGGTGTTAAGGCAGTGTCTGACACTGCATTCAATCTTGGCTTAAGAAATATACCTGAGAATCAAACAATCCTCTATTAATTACAGGAATATTCCTCTGCTCAAATATTTCTGGTGCTAGGGTGAGCTTGTTCTCTCACAAGATAGTCTGGATAGCTGGACATATGTCCCTTTTACAGAATTCTATTTGAGTTTAGCTGATGCCAACATGTCCTGTAATAGGACTACTGGAATAAGTCACAAATAGGCCCAAATGAATGTCATCAGGACATTCTAATTTTTTGATGGAATTTTGGCCTGAATGGAATAAAGACACTAAATATCTATTTTGCGGGATGCTTTTCTTGAAGAATCCTTAGTGTCCCATCTTTTTTTCACCTACTGTTTCTGCTTATATCCAGCTCTCCCCTTCTCTAGCCTTATGGAGGAGAATGCAGAAGGCAGCTGCAAGTTCAAGAATATACCCTCCAAAATTTTAATGTAATGGTAGGTTTACTTGGCTCTGTAAAGCCCTGAACACCATGGTCCTATGTGCTATGTATGAATAAGTACCAAAATGGAATATAAAAGTCATCCCCAATTAGTACTTCTAAAGTAGAACTGTCACTTCCTTGAAACAAACACTTTCCTATGAATTTAATGGCATTTATTGATTCATTCAACAAATATGCATTGAGATCCTACTCTGTGTTAACACTGTGTGTTTTCTATATAACCTCACTTTATTATATTTAACATATATTTAACACCTTGATGATAATTGTATTTAGGCTCTCTTAAATGATAGAACTCAAATCAAATTATAGGGCTTATCATTGTGAGCCAAATCTTATATCCATATAATAAAATAAGACCATTTTAAATATTAGGGCTTCAGAAAAAAAATCTTAAATTCATAAGTAATTAAACATTGTTCATAAATGACACCATTTAGAAATATATTTATAGATATCATTTTTCTTTGTTATATGAGAAAATTATTTGTTTTAGTATGACAATAAATGTTATCAGTAACAGAAAGAGAACTGCCTTAGATTTGCTAGAGTATTAATGGGATTACTTCCCAGGTGCTGAAAATCACAACAAATTGGATATTTAAAAATACTTGAATAATTTAACTTAAGATCATGAGAATAAGTAGCTGTAAATCAGCTTAATGAAAATAAACGAGAAGTCTAATGGCTTACTAAACAGAACAGTTCTGCTTCATATCTTTCTTATTCACTCCATGAGTAATTCCACCTTCACACATGTGGTAAATAGGTAAAAAATAGATCAAATAGAGACAGTTTACACTTTGTTTGACTTTGGAGTCAAAGAGATTAGAATTCAATTGCAATATATTCTTCCTTTGTTATAGTATGCAAACTTGGAAGTAGACATTATAATACTTAGTGAAAAATTTTCATACTTTAAGATGTGCATCTTCATTTCCCAAATAAACAGCTGATCAGAGTATAAACAATAATCAAATCACAAGCTTACATATGGACAACTACAAAAATGTGAAAAAACAATTTACAAATTGTTTACAAATGATAATGAAGAATAAATTACTCTCCAGTGAACATAATTAGGTATATACAGGATAATTTAAAACCAAATGGAATGATTGCTCATGCTGAGCTTTTAAAAATCTCCACCAAAATATACATGTTACCCAAGAGAGGGTAATAAAAATAAATTGTGACACAAAAGTAGGATGTTGTATCTCTTCTAATCCTCAATACTTGGATGATATCTCATCAAAATATTTATCAAGTATGCAAGTAATACAAGATTTTAATTCCAAAACCATTTCTCTAAATTACCAACAGACTTATATTCTTGATGTCTTTTCACATGATCACAAGCCAAGCATGCATGTGATTCCCAAAATCGTGGAAGATTTACAGTGAAATCCTTCCTCCAGTTAAAGTAACTAAGGTATAACTTATTGTTTTTGTCGACTTCCTTCAGATACTTTGCTAGCTCGCTGGGAGAGTTATAATCTTCCACATGAATGAATGAATCTGCTGGAATATAATTCTCATAGTTTTCCCTAGATGGCCCCAGAACAACAGGTACAGAGCCAGCCAGAAAAGCATTGTAAAGCTTTTCTGTGATGTAATCCCTGTGGATTGAATTTTCGAAGGAAAGATAAAATTTACAAGTAGATATGGTAGGAATCAAATTTTTATCATTGACATATTCTCCAAATGCTTGCCCGTAAGTATGGATTTCAATACTTTTGCTTAGCTCATTGTAATACTTGACCCTGGCATGCTCAGGGTTCCAGTTACTCACAACCCAGCACACCAACTTCTCTTTGCTTGGCACTTCAAACACGAAGGGATTTGTGCTCACTGTCAAGAAGCCATAAGGCACTTGGATATCTGAGTCGCGGCGGTAAGTCAGAGTCAGGTTAAACAAGTGCTCAATGCCACTCTTTTGGGGAGTATGAGTTGGTGATTCCAAATTCATCCAAATCCATTTCTGGAAGGGTGGCCTAGCTTGCTGAGGTAAATTTGTCAGATCCCAACTGATGTCTCGGTGATGGATCAGAACTGCGTGAGATTTGTTGTACAGTGAACGGTCTGTTGTGAGATGGCATCCTTGGATGTTGAACATTGCTTGGCAGGATGTAAGGTCAAAGGTCTGCCCAAATGGCCACACCCACACCAGAATAGTAGTTTCATTAAAATAATCAGTTTTGGTGGAGAAGAAGTTTTTCATTTTCAGCACAGAGCTGGCTGATTCCATTGGACTGAAGATCCAGCTGTTGGTAGGCTTGATGTAAATGAGAAGACATGCCATGAAACAGCCCAGGATAATGCAGACAATTAAAAATGGGCGAAGAATTCCTTTGGATGTTGATGTCATAATGTTTTCTATGAGACAGAGAAAGACAGAAGGGTAAGTAGGGGCAGGAATGAAGAGATAATAATAAACATATTTGAGACATATTTAAAATCATAAATATGACATAAACAGGTAATAATCAACTGCATTTTCCTTTTCAGTGTTATCAAACCATTGAGAGAAACACGACTTTCCTCAAAGCCAAGAAACTGCTTTCAACAGAAAACTTCCCAAAAACTTCAAACCAAGTAACTTTCTTTTTCAATGCTATCCTTACTCGTTCTATTTTTATTTGCTTGTAGAAAAGTGGCACAACCCAGACAGTCATCCCCAAAGCCATGGCTAAAATTTGCATATTTTTTCTTATAATTTTCTTTGTTTACTTTTAATAAGTTGTTAGTACATCCAATATCTACCAAGATGTAATAATCAAATGTTCTATTTGGATTAGAACAACATTCTCAAGTAGCATAGGGGCTTTAAAAAAGTTTTTCTTTATAATCCTCTGCTACAACATAATGCCCAACAGAGAGAATCCCTTCAGCAAATTTTCTAAGCATGTGAGGGACAGAGGAACCAACTCCCGCACTAAGATATGTGGGGGGGAATAATGAGCTTTCTCCCTGAAACAGCTTCAGAAGGGGCAATCAAATAAGAAAGTTTGACTGTGATGGTTAATTTTGTAAGTCAAGTTGGCTGGGCCATGGTGCCCTGATATCTGATTAAACATTATTCTGGATGTTTCTGTGGGGGTGTTTTTAAATGTAATTTGAGGAAAGCTCATTTCTTTCCATAATGTGAGTGGGCCTCATCCAATCAGTTGAAGGCCTGAATAGGACAACAGACTGACTACTCCCACGAAGTAAGAAAAAATTTTCCAGCAGAAGACTTTTATACTTTAACTGTAATGTCAGCTCTTCCCTGGGTCTCTAGCCTGCCAGCCCAACCTGCAGCTTTTTGAATTGCCAGTCTCCATAATCCTGTGAGTCAACTTCTTACAATACATTTTTCTCTGTGTATATACACATCCTATTGGTTCTGTTTCTCTGGAGAACTCTAATATGCCAGCTAAACATTAAATATAGGCTATGGAAAAAGGACACCTTCAGAAATATTTCATATCAATATTCTGTTTATTTCAACCATCCTCCAGCTACAGAATTTCAACCATCCTAGGGACAGACTTTTAAGGATTCTAATGGATGAACTCTCATCAAGAATTCTCCTTCTAGATTAAGGATAAGAATTTCATTAGGCAGGCCAGGCACCGTGGCTCACTCCTATAATCTCAGCACTTTGGGAGGCCAAGGTTGGCGGATCATTTGAGGTCAGGAGTTTGAGACCAGTTTGGCCAACATGGTGAAACCCCATCTTTACTAAAAAAGAAAAATTAAGCCAGGCATGGTTGTATGTGCCTGTAATTCCAGCTACTCGGGAGGCTGAGGTAGGAGAATCGCTTGAACATGGAAGGCGGAAGTTGCAGTGAGCTAATATTGCACAACTGAACTCCAGTACGGGCAACAGAGCAAGACTCCTCAAATTAAA